GGGTGCCGCGGCAGTTGAGGGTGGCCTGGGTGGTCCCACGGGGTACGAGCTCGGGGGTAGGCCGCGGCGGGGGCTTGCTCTGAGGGAGCCTGCTGGCTTGGCAGGGTTGCAGGCTGCTGGCGGTCTCTGAGGTCTGCGTGGAAAGCTTTGGTATCTCCTGAGAGTCAGACGAGTATGGGAGGCAATTCTTACTGTCAAAGTAGAGCACCTTACAAGAGGAAAGCAAGTAACACTTTCCTCTAACACAAGTAAGAAACGGGTTTATTTTCTCTCTCTTCACTCCTGAATCTAGTTTTTGTTGACTGAATTTAAAAACACATCAATAGTATGCTTCCTGGGCTTCCTTTACTAAGTGATGCAGACTCCTTCTGCAGCAGTAGTTAGAATCTAGTTTCTTCTTTAGAAATAAAGTATAAACATTAACTCTGACTTCCAAATAGTTACCATGCCAGCCTCCAAGATTATTTAGTTTCTTTGGTTGCTTCTTTTGGACAGCCTAAATCTATGCCAGCTTTTCTCTTCTTTAAAAATAAAGATGCATTTAAAACAGCTGACTAAAAGTATGTTACCTCATGTGGAGACTCAGGTTAAACAACACTTGTGACCTGGCTTAGAGAGAAACCTGGGCTTCAGATTAGTTTGTCAAATGATGTTTTAAACCTTAAATTGTCCATAGTATCAGTTGAACAAGGACACAAGCAGAGTCAGTCTTAAATTTTGCTTGCATTTTGCAGTGATACAGGAAATAAACAGGAGTGCTCCACTCATACAGTTCTACTCAGTTTAGTTAGTTTGAGGAGAATTAAAAAATGATGAAGGAAGGTTTGCAGAAGAAAACCTTGATGGGGATCTAGTTTTGTAAAGCTTGCAAAATTCATGCTTATAGTTTCCATAAAGAACAGTTAAAGTTTGACTAATTCATCTTCATGTAGTAGAGCGATGCTGTCTACTTAATTTTCACTAAACTGATGTTGTTAAAGAACAAATTATTAAGATAAGGTTCCAGCCAAGAGTTGATATTGGACTGTCACTGGCAGCAACCATTTTGCCACAGGCTCAGTGCTTTCTATAGATCTAGGAGTGGATGTTGACTTAACAACAATTGGCAGATGGATATGGTCATGTCAAGGAAATGAGCACATTTTGATGTCTAATTAGAGTTCAGTGATGGTTTTTTAAACTTCAGTTGTTAAATGTTAACTTCTCTTCAGGGAAGTGGATGCTGTTGCTAATTGTTTCTGAAAGTGAAATCAAACACCTCCAGATCAATATATACCAGCTTCTGGAAGAACTGATATTCTGTCCAAATAGTTAAGACTTGTATTGACTATTCGGGCTCTCAATTGTTCCTCTCTGCAGTAGTTTATAGATACTGCCAAACTAGACAGAACAGGGTAGATGCTATCAAGAGCAACCCGCTTTGTCAGATTTTTTAGGATGTGGAAACCAGTGACCTTGAAGTCAAAGTAGAAGCATAACATCTTAACTATTAATAATAGTGAATTTCAAATAGTATAGCGATTTAGCTTTTACCCCGCCCTCTAGATCCAAGAACTATTAGAAGGCTTTCTGCTTTTATTTTGCAGTCTTTATAAGACTTGACTAAAGCCTTCAAATAATTTTGTATATGAGGTTTTTGATGCTCTATGTTCTTTGGTGCTAGTGGCATTGTTTTTTTTCAAGCACTTCTTCTGCCATCATACTTCTGCTTTGTTCCCTAATCAGGTACTCCTCTCCATTTTCCTGCAGAATCCCTAACTCCTGCAATAAATATCTCTGCTTTTTAAAACCTCACTGCTAAGCCAGCCACATCCAAATATGCCTAACTTTATTGGGTTGATGATCTCATCTCTGCATTATCACTGTTGGCCTCAAATAGCTGCTGTTTCATTTAACCTTTAAGGTTCCTTCTGCCATCATGTTACTGCCACAGTACTCCTTTAGGGTGCTCAGTCTGCTGCTGTGGGATCCCTCACCTGGTGTTTTGGACAGAAACAAAATACTCAGACTTTCGGCAGCACTCATTATCAGTGCCAACAGAACAACAAGTCTTGTGAATATGAAGTCTTGAAGAAATGAGCTCGTAAGTCTTTAAAGTGAGTGGTAGAAATGTTAATTCTTCAGAGTAATACAGGAAGCACGAGAATTTTTGAAGTTTGACAAAACTTCAGCAAATTATGAGAAGGGTAACCTTTTTTCTTCTTCATTAGGTTCTCATAATTACAAGAAGCAGCCTGATAACATATCTAGAGCCACTAGTTTATTATAGATGACAGCTAGTGCCAGTTTGATACTTAGGACTTCCAGAATTAGTAACAGGTTGCTTTTCTTCATTCTGGTATTTTACCGCCTTTTGCCCTGGTTCCCCTAATGCTAAATATTTTTTCTCTGTTTTCTTCTTATCCACTTCTGGGAACTAGGCTGGAAAACCAGTGTGACTCATGAATGGGGAGAGGTTGAAAAACAAGCTCTGGCTGTATTTGAGATTTTTTTTGTGAAGTCTTTCCTCTGACAGAACTAAGGTGTGATAGATAAATAGCACTGAACAGAACTGTTCTCTATTAATTCTCAATTCTTTTATCTGGAGCTGGGACAAACTATCAAAGTCATTCTTCTAGACCAAAAGGACCCCTATTTTTTTTTTTTTTTCAATTCTGTGTGTATCACTGACTTGGTAAGGAATTGAAAGCAAAGTTCTCACCTGTTAGAGTAAAGGGACATAGGTATAAGCATATAGCTATAATTCTTGCTGTCTCTTAATTAATTTGTGACTTGCTGACTGGGTTAGGCAGGAGCAGAAATTATCAGTGCCAACAGAACAACAAGTCTTGTGAATATGAAGTCTTGAAGAAATGAGCTCGTAAGTCTTTAAAGTGAGTGGTAGAAATGTTAATTCTTCAGAGTAATACAGGAAGCACGAGAATTTTTGAAGTTTGAGAAAACTTCAGCAAATTATGAGAAGGGGAAACTTTTTTTCTTCTTCATTAGGTTCTCATAATTACAAGAAGCAGCCTGATAACATATCTAGAGCCACTAGTTTATTATAGATGACAGCTAGTGCCAGTTTGATACTTAGGACTTCCAGAATTAGTAACAGGTTGCTTTTCTTCATTCTGGTATTTTACCGCCTTTTGCCCTGGTTCCCCTAATGCTAAATATTTTTTCTCTGTTTTCTTCTTATCCACTTCTGGGAACTAGGCTGGAAAACCAGTGTGACTCATGAATGGGGAGAGGTTGAAAAACAAGCTCTGGCTGTATTTGAGATTTTTTTTGTGAAGTCTTTCCTCTGACAGAACTAAGGTGTGATAGATAAATAGCACTGAACAGAACTGTTCTCTATTAATTCTCAATTCTTTTATCTGGAGCTGGGACAAACTATCAAAGTCATTCTTCTAGACCAAAAGGACCCCTATTTTTTTTTTTTTTTCAATTCTGTGTGTATCACTGACTTGGTAAGGAATTGAAAGCAAAGTTCTCACCTGTTAGAGTAAAGGCACATAGGTATAAGCATATAGCTATAATTCTTGCTGTCTCTTAATTAATTTGTGACTTGCTGACTGGGTTAGGCAGGAGCAGAAACAAATGGTATTTCTTATTTGCTATAGAAAAGGTAAGGTGGTACTATAATTGTTCTGAGCAGCAGACATTTATTTTAATTTCAGCTGTGAATTGTTATCCTTCTTTAGGGGTTCTTTAAAAGGGAAGCTGCAAGTGTCCAACCCACTTTCTCTGTGATACACCTACTAAAACAAAAAAGGTGTTCAACCCTAGGAATCTCAAAATACTCCTGCTATTTTGCTGCCAGAGCAAAAGCACTATTAAAAGAGTACTGCCTTAATAAGTCTGATTCTAGAGGGCAGAAGATAAGACTATTGCTTGACTTTTCTTAGACAAGAAAACTGAATTAAACTGTTATATTCTTCTGTTCACAGAGATTTGAACCGTTATGTTTTCAGGGCAGGAGAAACTTCACATGGGGAAAAACACCATGAGGCTTCTCTGTACTTCACTTTCTCTTATCATGATTTGCTGGCTAGCTGAAGGTACCCTGTCAAAAACAGATGCAAAGAAAGGTGCTACAAAAAAACTGGAAGAGAAGGTAAGAGAAATAAGTGAAATGCTCGTCTTATCTAACATGTGCAGTGAGCTAATTGAACTTTGGTAAATGGACTCTGATTCTGTCAAAACAGTGTTAAAAGCAACCAAGCATTTCTGTTGAAGCTTATGCTCACAAATAAGACTACCTGAAACTGTCCTTTCCTTCAGCTTTTATGAGTGTCACAAACGGTTCACTCCTTGAACCAATATGATGTAGACTTCTGGAGCTTTATTCCCCATGCAAGCTGCAGAAGCAGGAAGTTTTTGTCCCCTCTTGCATACCTAAAGGAGACATACTTCCATCCCTTTGGAAAGGACGGTGGGGAGCAGTAGTTTGGGCCAAGAGCACTAGGTCGTTTACTGGTGGAAGGGAAGGTGTTCTCAGCCTTGCCAATGGGAAGGCTGTATCCTGATAGAAGAGTCTTGTAACCAGCAGTTCCTTTGCAGGCAGAAATGATTCAGAGTCCTGTAGCAATCTGAGCAAGTGGAGCCAATGTGCTGAAGTCTCTGTTAACTTGCTGAACGTGTTCTTGTTTCCTGCATGTTTTCTTTCAAAACTGCAAGAAGGCACAGCAGTGCAAGAGAACGGGTGTGTATGGAGAGGAAGTATATTTACCAGTGCATATATCAAGTATATGTACTTAGTGTTGCTGAGTACGTTAGGTAAAAAAGTAGACATGTTCAAAATCCTCTCCCTTAAATTGTAAGTATAGTTAATCCTTCATTATGCAGATACATCTCTCATTGTATTATTACTTGCTTGCTCAACGTCTACCAGGAAGAAAATCTAGTCTGCAGGTAGTGAGGATAATACAAAGTGTTAAGACAGGCCTTATCCCTAAAGTCCTTACGCTGAATCAATAGATGGTTTCTGCGTACTTACCATGCACACTTTATTAGGCCTTCTCACTCAGTTTCTTTCTGCCAAAACTATTTGTGCTGCTTTAGTTGAAGCAGATCTTCCTTGAAGAAAGGTGTTCACAGCCTTGGCCTCCAGTAACCACAATGCGGCATGCTCAGTTTAAAATATATCCAGTTTAAAAGTTGTCTTCAAATTCTTGGTTAAGAACTCCTAACCCCTATTTATCATTTTGGGGGTAACATGCCAGAAAGCATTGACTAGAGAACAGAGCACCATCAGCTGTGGTGAATGATGTTCTTGAATCTTACCACTACTTGATTTTTTTTTTTGTTTATATGCTTTTTGCCTTGCAAACAAAGTAAGTTTACTGATGATGACAAATCATTTGTGAGTACTTTCCTGTTTCAGTTTTAAATCAAACTGCTCTGCATCATTTAAAAGGAGTGCTCAGAGTTTAATGATGTGACTTTTTTATTTTCTATTTTTTTTTCTTTTGAAGTTTGTTGCCATTGAAAGTGGCTGCTTCGTATAGCTGGTTCTAAAAACTGTCTTCTCGCCCCAGATGCTGCATTCTGATAAAAATGTGCAGGACCGGGGACTGGTAGTTGTGGATCCAAAGGCAAAGGATATTATACTGGAACACAGAAGTTATTGCTCCAAGAAGATGAAGGAAAGACATTTCTCGGGAGACGTTCTGGGATATATTACTCCTGTAAGTTAATAAAATGAATAAAATTGGTGCTTTGAATGAACATGCAGCAGACTGTGCTAATCTGCAATCTCGCATCCCTGCTTTAAAAGCTTTTTTATAATAATGGGAACTTCTGGTCAAATACAGTCAAATAGTCAGAGGATTATTTGAGAGCTGGCTTGGGATTCAGATGGTCTGAAACCCTTATTCTCCCATCCAGCTCTTGGAGGATGTCTAGGTCATACTGTTTTTCTTCTCACTGGTAAAACAGAGATGATAGTATCCTCTTGTCCTTGATGAGCCATATGAAGTTGCAGTAAAGTCAGGATAGGATGGCTACTAAGTGTCCTCATACCGTGCAGCTACCAACTTGAACCTTCTAAATAAACAGTCAAAACTTTATGCTTCTGTCAAACTGATCTCTTTTGCTATCCAGTCTTACTATTATTCAAAGCATCATTTCTTGAATAGTAAATGTTTCTTCCTTTTGTTTAGAGGATGCTTTTCACTTGTTTCAGTCTTACGCTGCTCAAAAGAGAAATAGATGCCCTATAAATTTTCACCTTTCTCAAGTTCTCTCGAACATAAATGCAGAGTCTGTAAATTCAAAACTGTGTTGGAATCTACATGCAAATTCCTGTAGTTCAGGTGAATTTGCACAATATGAAGGTTGCCTTTCATGTAGCTATAGGTTTCCAGAGTACTTTCTTATTTAAATAAAAATAATGTCCCAGAAGGTTTCCTCAAACTAACAAATGGGGACCTAGCAAATGATTACATTTGTGTTGAAGAATTTGTATTGGTCAAAAGTAAAGTGAACTGTATATCTTGCTTTTGAGCCTCTCACTTTTTTTTCTCCTTTCTTTTGCAAGTGGAACAGCCATGGCTATGACATTGCTAAAATATTTGGGAACAAATTTACACTAATCTCACCAGTCTGGTTACAAGTGAAAAGGAGAGGGAAGGAAAGGTTCCAGTTCACTGGGCTCCATGATGCTGATAAAGGTGTTATTTTCTTTTTCTTTGAATGTGCATTGCAAGTAAGATTACTGATCTTGTTGCAGACTAGGTAGCATTGGCAATATATCTATGTGGGTTTTTCTGGCTCTGCCTCATGGTGAAGTACTTTCATCCATTCCATTTTTTGGGGAGTTTTCTTCAGAGTGAACTTCTTTCTGTCCCCACCTGCTTCCACATGTGTACATAGTTTATCTGTCCAAAGAATAAGTAGAAAGATTGGCTCTTCCATCAGGCTGTCTACAAAGCCCCTTTTAAAAAAAGGAAGGGACAAAGAATCTGTGCAGGCAGAAATAGTCTTTGGTGTTTGCACTGTGCAGTTGTTTACCTGTTGTGGATTTTTTCCCTCTGCAAAAACCTTTGGGTGAATTTGTTTTGAGAATGGAAGATAAATTTAATCTGAAGAGAATTTTTTCCTTTACTGTCAAGAAACTGTCAGCAAGTTCAGATTTCAGCTAGTATGTTCTTTAATAACCAAGTAGTTTATGGTTTTGAACTTGATTGAATGTGGAATCTCATTTGAAACAGCTATAATTCTTACCATGTTGGTGCCTACTAACAAATTCATTCAAGTGCAGTGACTGCCAAGAGGAGTGGATGGGACACTTGGGAGTACCATCTTTAAAAAAAAAAAAAAAAAAAAAAATTCCACCCAGGTGATGCTTGGTGATAATGTTGTTCTGAGTAGGTAGTAAGATAGTTTCTATGATAAGGCAGAAATGTAAGCAGCAGGGAGGGGTTGGGTAGGGACTATTGTAAGATTGTAGTAAATGCTAGTTATGCTGTTGTGGAGGTGAATAGCTTCAAATTCTGTGCATAAGAGGATGTTTCATCTGTGCTGGTTGTGAACTAGTAGTCTGTGGCAGGAAGATAGATATAATGAAACTATGCTACATTATTGAAGAATGCTTGAAAATACGTTGTTATTGTCAACATCATTTATATTTTAACAGTTGTTCTCTTACTTGATGCTGTTTGACAGGCTGGATGAAAGATGTCAGAAAAACCTCCAAAAACATCAAAATAGGTGAGCCTCTGTTTTCTGTTTGTTTTTTTTTTTTATCTTGAACTGTTAGCAGAGCAAAAGAAGGTTTTGTTCCAGGTGTATATGGGAGAAAGGGAGGTTACCTTAGCATAGTTGTACGAAGGAAGAAGTCTCAGAAGAAAAATAAAGGCAGTTAACTATAGATAGTTAAGTAACTGAAGTATTCGTCCTCTGCCCTAATGTTTTGCCTTAACTTCTTGCCTCTGGACAAACCCTGGGTCACAGGGCCCTCTCTGGAGGGGTACTTTGTATATAACACTACATGCTTACCTGGGGGAGCAGTCTTCAAACTTGTTGCTCAGGGGTTCTGCTTAGTTTAAAAAAAAAAAAAAAAAAAAATCCAAATCTGAGTCAGTCAGACTTCCCTGCATGATAGTAGAAAAGTTCCCCTTTGGCTTTTCTCCCCTTGAAGCTGGGAACTCAAGGGATATGCCACGGTGTGTGTCTTTAGGGAAAATGGCAAACATTGCTATAGATGTAATACTGTACTAGACTTCTTACATTTGTCTATAGCAAGAATTCTGTGGAACTGTGAAACCCTTCTTGATTCAGAATCAAGTATGAAACTTGAAGAGCATTAGAAAAATTGAATGCTCAGTCAGATATTTTAAATTACTTCAGCTGCCAGATGATAAAGCCTCTGAAATCTCTCTAGACTCTTCTAAAATACTCTTAACATCCTTGGTAGTTAGAAAGGGCTTAGACATAGCTCTATATGAGTTGTTTGCTTTTCCAGTGTGCATGACTGTCGACTGTTCCAACAACAGTTTTCCTGACTCTCGTCTGACTATGTTTTTAGTTTTGTGGTGTTAGAAAAAGAAATTATGTGAGCCTAAGTGCCCATGTTTTCCAAAATAAAAATTTGTCATAGGGTCTTGAGATGAGTAGAAGAGTGCAGTAATATAGGACTGTGTACAAAAGAGTAAATTAGAGTTTGAGGTGAACTTTTCTATCTTGTTCTTGTGGTAGAAGAGATGCACAACTTGCAGAAAGATTGCTGTTTCATGTTGGTGTTCTTTTAAGACTTTACTTGGGGCCCTAAGTGATAGTTCAGATAAGATAGTTCAATCAAGTGAAGGTATCTTTTCTTAAAACTTGCATCAGTGCTGATCTTTAACTAAACATAAAATGAAGAAGAATGTTCTACAGTGTCAATTTATCTGTGCTGCTAAAGTTGGTCAGAGTAAAAAAGCAATGATCTTGGTCATGGGGTATGTTGTTTAGTGGCATCTCTGCTTGTATCTGCTGTATTCTGTTTCTGCAGGAATATTCCAGTGTAGATAATAAATTCTTAATTTTCACTACTGATTGATAACTTTGCTTGATAGTGCCTCGAATTTTGTTTGATGGCTGGACTTATCAGGACTTCGAGAGTGTGTTTGGCAGTGAGGATGAGATAGAGGAGCTTTCTAAGAACATGGTTCTGCTAGCCAAGGTAAAAAGACTTTTTGCTAATGCTTATAAAATAGTGTGAGATGATATTTGATTCCTTTTGTAATGGGTGTTTTCTCATTTCCAGTAGTTTTATATTCTACAAAGTAAAATTCTGCTCAAAACAATAATAAGGCAGAATTCCTAATAGTGTGTCCTAGTATGTGTCCAATTCCTGTAAATACAAAGTACAGCAACACTTAAGTGCAGTTAACTACAAGTCTAAAGTGAGACTACATAAGTCTGATCAACATAACCTTGTTAAGTTATCGTTGGCAGCTGCACTGGTGACTTTTGCCTGCTATAAATTGTGATTGACAAAACCTGTTCCGAACAGCTGACAGGCTGAATGTTAGGGGATACCTGATAAACTTCTCATGGAGGTTGCCTAGTGAGCAGACGGCTTTCTTTTAAATTTGTATTAAAAAAAACATAAATCTATTAAGCAGGGGCTAAACCGGTTAGTGGTGTTTTTTGATAGGCAGAAAAAGGGTCATGGGTGCAATGAATGCTGTTTTCTGTGTTATAGGAGTACATTCAGACTCAGTGTGCTAGAGCTAATGAGCCACTTCTAATACCAAGAATAACTCACTGGATATCTGTTACTGTACAGTTTTGCTCAGGTCTGATAAACCAGTTTCCTTAAAATGTTAAGAGACTGGGGAGAGGAAAAGAGGTTTTCCTTTAAGGAGTGGTTACTGTTTGCTAAGGTTTTCTGGGCAGCCCCTCAGCTAATGGCTTTAGAGCTATGCATGTATAGGACTAGACAAGTTGCACCCAAAAGACATTCAACTTTAGTGATTGATTCATGACAGCCTGCTTAATTACTGTCAGAATAAGTTTTCTTACTTGCTACACAATATAAAGAAATCTTAATGTGCTCTAGAGGAAGATGGATATAGAGGTAAACTGAATAGTTTCTTAAAATTTGTAACTGATACATCAATTTTAGGTCCTCAGTAACAGTTGGCCTCTTAAGGAAAGGGTACTCAACTACAACAGTATCCTTGACAGTGCTAAACAAATGAGATTAATTGTGGGAGAAGTTTGGAATCATGCCTATGCCAAGTTAGCATTTACATCTTTAGACTCAAGAGCTCATGAGTGTTTTCCCAAAATACATGTAAATGTGTGTCAAATGATTTGCTTAACAACCATCTTCCGTTAATGGCTGAATTTTCCCAATCCAATACTGGTTTATCCTGTAAGAGTAGAAGTCATGGATAACTAATAGAGATTTTCAACTTTTGCATGTTCGTTAAATAATTTGTGTTCTCTGACTTCTTCATGAAATTCTGCATTAAAGACGAAGCTGGTATAAGAATACAGAACATGTTCCATCTGTAATAGTACAAGGAAAAACTACAGTAGTTATGTGTTTTGATGCTGCATTATCGTCTCTGATACAAACATAATGAATAAGCGTGTTGGTTAACTGTATATTGTTGTCGATTCCCTTTATTTAGAATGAAAATTTTGATGGTTTTGTAGTTGAAGTTTGGAGTCAGCTGGGAAATCAAAAGCAAACGTGAGTATAAGTCTCTAGGATGCAATTCCTAAAAATCGGCTTTTGTAAAGCATCTTTTTAATTTGTCCATGTTGATTTGAATTTGTCATTATAAATAAATACACTTCATTCTAGGACAACTGAAGATTGTTCTAGTTATCTTAGAATGAAGTAGAAGAGTCTACTCCACTCTACATGAGCTCAGATTACATAACAATCTTCATAGTGGATCTAGCAGACCACATTAGCCTTTCATACTTGAGTTCTGCAAGATGTTACTGTTGTACAAGGATGAAGAGGGTACCTCAACTGCATGCTTACTCAGATGTTGGCACTGGCCTTTATTATAACATTGATTGATTTGCATTACTGGGTGAAGCTTGGAATTGTGGGATGCTTTCAAGACCACGAAATCCGAGTTGATTAGGAAACCTTCCAAACCTTTATATAGAGATCTTTTAGACATACTGAAACTAAAACCAAAATCTCCAACCTGAAGCAAATACAGGGAGAAACTGGCTTCCAGTTCTCGCAAGCACAGTATGTTTTGAACTTTGGAGTAGTTGATCTATCTTTTGGTAGCTCTGCTACGAAGTTTCAGTGAGTCTGCATTTATTGTAGCTGCTAAAACTAAAGGGCTTATCCATATTAAGCTGTTTCCTGACATATTCTAATCTGTTTTCCTTGAGCAAAAGCCCCTTGGCTGTCTTAACACCTTGGACGGAGTCAAGGCAGGGCAAGCTCCAAACTGCTGCTTCAGGAGGAAAGGGCAGAATGTGTGGTGAAATGAATGATTCAGTGCAGCAATGTGAAGATTTTGTGTTAGTTCCCTCAGGCATCCATTCCCTAAAGCACAGTATTCCTACCAGCTCTCTATTGCCTAAAATGTCTGGGGGAAAATAGCTTAAAAGAAAGCTCCACAGAATGCAGACTGTGTTACGGGAGACTTTCACCTTTCAAAAATGTTTACTTCAGGTTACTCTGTTTAGGGCAAATGTTACTGACTGATGGCATATAATAGTTAGTTCTAGAATTGAGTGTGCTATTAACGAAGTCCTACCTTTTCCCTATAAAATCAACACTTGTGAAGAAAGAATTGAAACTGCAGAATCTTTGTAGTCTTTTCAGGGGCTCCACCATTTGCACTGGAACGAATAATCCTTAAGCTAGATGCTCTTGCTCATAATTAGGTAATTTGCCATGTTGTTCCTAAAAGTTGATCTCTATACTGAGCTCTGAACCTATTGCAATGTCTTAATAAGACAGCCAACAAGGTGATTTAAGCAATTAGTAGCTGCCAGCCAGAAGTTGGGTGTAGTGGTCAGTTTATCTACTGTGCTTACTGTATTTCAGTAAAATTGATGCTTTTCCTATTAGTTAACTTACATGAATGTAAGACTGTATTACTGTAATTTTAAGACTCACTGAAGACCAATTTAAGCACACTAGCATCAAAGTGCTGTATTGGAAATGACACATATGAAGCATACTTTTTTATTAGCACTAGGGTGTGTTTACTTCTGGCATGGTAAAAGTTATACTCTCTGCCAGGAGTAATGCTGGTTGAAAACAGCATTGCTTGTCCTATCTTGTGTGATAAGAACTGTTTGTACTAGAGGAGGTGCTGCTGTGTAGTTGCTCTAGCCATCAGTACCTGAATGTTATTTAGGTGAAGTATAGCAGCACCACTTACATATTCACTGTCTGTCTGTTATTGATAGACAGGAGTGGGAAGTATTTTCCATAACTTCAGAGAAGGAAAGGGTTATTCTTAAAGAGTAGAATGGTAACTGCCTCCTTTGCTCCGAGTCAGTAATGTTTGATCATATGTGGCCACCTGTGAACAAGACTTTAGGATTATCCCAACTCAAAATGTGAAAGATTGTTTGGCAGAAAAATATGACTAGAAAAAAAAGTTATGAACTGCAGATTTTCCTCCTCTTCAAGACCAGTTTTGATTTAAGTGCTTCATTGTAAACTCATCTGTGGTTTTTTTCTTCCTTTATTGCCACTCCCCTAGAAATGGCTAGGGTGTTTAAGTTGCAAAATACCTTGTGTTGGGCTTGCCTCCTCAGAGACAAGCATTCTGAATAAGGCTAATCTAGGCAGCAAGCTGAAGCTAGGCTTGTGTGTGGAATAACAGTTGTTTTGTGAAAGTAGAAGCGCATCATTACATTAAAATTTTGTCTTATGATGCTTGTAAGTTATGGGACCAGTGTCTTCATTTTGAGATTAAGTCAGTTTGTCTATCACTTGCTCTAAAACTGGATGGCTTGGGTATCCAGTGCCCCAGGGTTTTCCCTATCAATGTTTTTTGGAGTGAACAGATGCTTTGAACAGATCTTGAGGGGCAGGATTAAGTGAACTTAGCACCTTGGCAAGCCTGTATTTTTATTGCACATTGAGTGGTGTTACTTTGGGATCTGTTAATTTCATTTTGAATAGCAGAGCAGAGTTATTCCTGATAAATGGGTAAGCATGGATGGTCTTTTGCTTCGCTAGAAAAGAATTGGAGCAGCCCATGACCTCTTCAGCCCACAGAGTGGCAGTATTGTAATATGACTCATACTGATCTTCCTTGTCAGATTGTGTCTTTCGACAATGACAAACGCCAGCAGTAAAGCATGTTCATAACCTTGGACGGGTGGGGGTCAGTTGACAGGTAGGTGTCAACACAGAGATGACCCCTAATCCTTCGGAGATGTGAAACGTTCATAGAACAGCAATTGTGTATGCTCCATATAAAGCATCTGTATTAACTATTAGGTACATAGTGTAGGCTTTCCTGATTCCAATCCTTCAAGGTCAAACACCTGAAAGTAGCTTAACCTACTTCTAGGTAAAGGAATAAAAGATCATAATGATGCTCCTAGGAACAGATAGTTCTGCCTTCAAATTACTTTCAGAGCTGTCTGACAATACAAGGAGACCTGCGTAGCTAATACAATTTATTCCTATTATTTAGTGTGAACGTGTTTTAGTTTAAAAAGAAAATAAAAAAATCTGATTTTTTTTTTTTCTGAAATACAAGGAATAGTCTCATATGAGCAGTTAGCAACAGGTTATTGAGACTCAACACAGGTGCATAAAAATATCTGGGGATATGCTGCAGCTGCCAGCTTGCCTTATGAAATGACAGAGCAGTGGTGTGGATCTAAGTAAAAAAAAAATCTTAGAATCATTATGGTTTTCATTTTTCAAAACCTAAAGTAAGTGGATACCTAGCTATTAATAAATTATAAATTAATAAATAGCTAGCTATTAATAAATAATAAATTAATAAATAATAAAAGGCACTCAATTATTCTAGTGCATCCTTTCATGTATCTGTGTTGAGGGGAAAGCTGTGGAAATGATTCCTGTTATTTCTGTAATAGTGTTATGCAAAAGATCCATGATCTCATCCAGTGCACTACCTTAGTGGTTCAGGAACGCTTAGTATAGCACAGGTTTCTTTATCAGACTTAAAATAACTAGAGAGTGGGATTTGCTTATTTGACATTTGTGCTTGATACAGTGTTTCAGCTACGAAATCAGCATCCACTTTCTAAAGACAGTGTGCAGTGATAATTTTTAGCAGAGTGCACCAATATTTGTTGAGGCAGGTGAGTCTGCGAAAGAATCTGAAAACCTGCAAATTAGTGTCTTAACTCACTAATAAATTTGGTTATGATTTAAGCACTACTTCATATATCAGAAAGCTGGATTAATTGCAGCTGAAGCTGTCTTCTCAGAAGACCTCAGCTGAGCAAGTGTCTCCATGAGATACCTTTTTTCAATAGCTGAACATGAATTTTGGTTGGATTAAAGAGGCATGATGACATCTTCGTAACACATGCTCTCCCCATTGTCTTGATGTTGGGGCTTGAAACACTGAATTGCCTAAAGACCTTGTGACAAATTTTGTAAGTATCTCCATATAACAAGGTAACTGTTAGCTCTGTGCAAAGCTTCTGTAACCCATAAATCCTGTGACCAGCCTGTTTAAGAACCTGTGATCACTGAGCATTTTTAAAATGAGGCAAATTTAGACACTTCTCTGTCAGCCCTTTGCAAGTTTCTGGAAAATCTTGATTTTTTTGGAGTACTCACTTCAACATTCGAAATGAATGAAAATTCTTCCTGCAAGGAAGAATTATTAGAATAAATAACCCCCTTCCTGCAAGGCCTGAGGGGTTATCTAAAAAGAGCCTTCAGTTTCCTGTTTATCCTAGCTGGCATTACAGATGGGGTGAAATGTTGCTAAGAAGTTATGTTGCTGGCATCCACTAAGACATGAAATTCTGTGGTTTCGGGCTCACCACATATCTTTTGTTTACATCTTAAGCAGAACTAACTTAATCTGGTTCTGTTTGTTTCTAGGAACAAAAAAATTTCTAATCATTCTGGTTTGGCGTTAGAATTGCTCTGTAATGCTCAGCAGACTAAAGTCTTAAATTATGTCAATCCTTTGTGCTGCTTTCTTTTGCATATTCATTTAAATGTTGATTTTACCAGCAGTATAAATTTTATATAAGAGAATTATGTGCCTAAATGTAGCTGCCTGGTTTCACATTAGATCTCCTAAGAAGCGGGGTCTCTGGCTGTTCATGTAGGGTCCTAGATGACTCGAGTCTTACACAGCAATCCTGTATGCATGCTTTGTATACCTTTGGATGTATAAAATGGCATATTTATATTCTTATATTTAGATGCCGAAATACCACCTGTTCTATCTAAAGAACCTGAATTGTCTTGATAAATGTATGTGGACCTAAGTTTTGGGGGGGGGTTTATACTGACCAGTTCAGGCTCCTGTAAACTTCTAATACAGATACTTCAAAGTACCCTCTATAGTACTGGTACCTACTTCTTTCCTGTGATTTCTGGGAATAGAATTATTGATATACAAATCACAGTGAGGTCAAATTTAATGTGAGATGAAAGACTGCATCTAACTGATGCTACCTCCTCTCATTCTGACAATCATTGCATGGTGAAAAAGTATTCTGTTTCCCATCTTTTATTCTAACATATAGGAAATCAGTCTCCTAACAAAAATCTAAATCAGCCAAGATATCCTATGCAGATTAGACTGCAATTCTAATGTGTTTTGCCGTTTCTTATAGTTTAAACCTGCTTCTTAATTAAATAACTGTCTTTTAGATAAAACATTCTTGACTGATTTTGCAATAAAATATTCCAAGTTATTCATCCTGTGGCATTTAAGTTTAGAAGTGTACATGGCAGAAATATTGAGATGACTGTGCAAGGAAAGGTTCTACTGCTTATTTAGTTAACAGCTAGACAGGACGATGTCTCTCTTGCTAATCACTTTTGGGTTTATTGGGTGTGTTTTTTCTCCAGAGACCTGGGTCATGTTGTGAAAAAGGTATGAATGTACCCATCAGAATCTCACAGCATACATAAAAGTGCACACATTATTCTGATCAGTCTGGCATGCGCTGACAGATGGCACTGCCACCACACCGAATCTATCTGAAAAATGTGATTTTTTTTTTTTTTTTTTTTTGTCACCACGTGCTGCAGGCACTTGGTATCGTGTAGAAGATGACCTTCAGACATCTTATTAATGTTGGTAGGAGTATAGGAGCAAACAGCTCTTCTGGCAGTTCTATCCTTCATGCTAGTCCCTGAAAAATTAATCTATTAATCAAAGATTTGCCATAATTCACTCCAGTTTCTTGGTATTAACTAGGCAATGAAATGGCACAAAAGGGCAATTCCTTCTTGAAGTAGACAGCTTTATTTTGTCCAATTTTCTTGACAAGGCATAAATTTTAGGGAGTAGTGACTACCAACTTGTGCAAAAAAGTGGCTGAAGTTGGAAAGTTGCAGAGTTCTGAAGGGTCACATAACTGAAGGGAAGGATATAACAGCCTTATGTTTTTTCTACAAGGCTTTTCAAATACATCTACAGCCCACTCTTGTGCACTGAAGTAAACTGTACTACAAGGTGTCCCAAACACAGTAGACCAGCAATGCTGGAAAAGGGAGTTCTGAAAAAATAAGCTTCCCTTAAACTTTGGGTGTTGAAAATTTGGAGATCTGCATACTTTATAGGGGACTAGATACTTTGAAATCATGAACACTTGGAAAATTGACCTACCAAATGGTAGTGATAATAGAAGGCCTGAAATAGTAGGAATGACGTAGACCTTAATTAGCTCGAGATAGAGTCTTAAAGCTGCCAATGTTTTAGTAGCTACTCTGAAGTTAAATTTTACAATGGTGAAGTCTCTGGTAAATATTTAATGAAGCCTTTTCAGGAAGACTGATTCTATTCCTACTTTTCTGCACCTCATTATAATTTTTAAAATGTCAGTAGCTTTTCTTTCAGAATTACCAGTGGTAATACGGGAGAATATTGTGTTGAAAACACTGGAAAGCACTGTTGGGACACAGTAAAGTTTTAATTTATAGCACACAATAAATGAACAGTCTACTATTGCTGTTTGGGGGGAAAAGGGGAAGAGTGCATATTTGATTTACATAATCTGTCTTGGCTGACAAATGGAAGTGAGCCTAAATTAAGTCTTTAACCATTAATCCTGTCTGATTTGCTAGAAAGTTTTCAGGGCCCAGAGACCTGGCTTGACAGGTTAGTGAGTAGATGTTAATTTGGGTTTCTTGAGCAAGAATTTGCAGTTGTCCAGCTACCCTTTTTCTTCCTAACCTCCTCCAAGTTGAAGCGAATTATTTTTTGGCCAGAGCTATGCTGCTTGGATTTGGTGGTGGGAGGAGAGGAAGTGGCTGTTTTGATGGAGTCTGTTTTTAGTTAGAGTCCTGTCTGCTAGCTACAAAATAAAACCAGCATTCCAAACTGCACTCCTGCCCCTTTATCAGGTCACGAATCTCTGTCCTTTGTTTACAGTTGTAGGTTGTGGTTCTATGCTGTATGCCTTTCTAGTCTTAAAATATGACTGGTTTTGTGCAGTCACTCTTTTTGTGGATACATTTTTACCTCTGCTGGCTAACCACCAGTGTCTGACATTGCTGAGGAAGGGGGAAACCTTGAACTTAATGTTAACTTGAATTTTTTTTTTTTTTCTCTTCATCTGGTTCAAAATAATCCCAACTGCTTTTCTTCTTATGCTTCAAAGCATTGCTATCTGGATAGCAAAATTTTGGGAGCTAAGGCAGATATGTGAAGATGCAGAGTGTGAGCAAGGGTATTGGCCTTGTTTCTAAATGAAAAAGAAAAAGACGTTATCTTGCTCTGCACCTATGTTAGGGTCTTTTGTCCTATTCCCCCCTCCTTCTATCCCCTCACCTTCTAAACAATTAAATTTGAAGACAGTAAATGTTTTGCATGGTGTAGAGTTCCCAGAGTTCCTACAGCTAACAAAGGCAGCCAGACAGAGAAGAGAGATCCCTGCTGATGAACAGTGTAGAATAATGTCAATGCCAGAGGAATTGATTCTTTGGTCAAATTTATCTTTTATGTAGCATCTCTGACATCTAATAAAGGGTGCACTCATACTGCAGTTTGGGCATAATCACTTAAAAAGGTCACTTAGCCATGAGATGCAAATCAGTGGGGAAGAAGGCTTAGCTTGTTTTAATACTGATTATAGTTTTTTATAAGATTATGTCATGTGGGAGCCGTGATGTGTGTATGTTGAAGTCAATAAATGTCTGTTTAGTGTTGTAATTTTTTAATGCGTTCCTATGGAAAAAGGATTCTTCTTTGCTCTAATTGATTTGTCTGAAGAGTGACACTCTTAATGTGTAATGCATATGATAAGGAAATGGGAAGGAAAGCTTTCCCAGAGCAAGAATGGTGGAATTACGTGCTGCAGGCAGACCAAAAGCTGATACCTGTAATCTCATGTATCCCCCCTGGAAGAGAAATATGGGTGGCAGTGTGACAGTTTATTGTAAAGAGCTGTTCAGCACAGCCAGCTGTCAAATTGTAAGCACAAAATACTGATGGTATTGGGAAAGTGATAAAACTTGCTTTGTTTGTCAGGATTTTGGGAGTAATGGCTTTTGTAGCATCCTTAGGAAGTTTTCATCAGGCATCAAACCATTTCAGGGAAAATGAAAATACTTGGTTGCCTTTGGATAGTGTCTACATTGTGCAAGTCAAGCGTTATTGCTGTGATGGATAATTATATTGGAAGATCAAGGATTTCAGAACAATGTCTCTAGGATGATACTTGAAAGGCATGACAGTACCAGAAGTTGTTTCTGAGAGTTCAGGTCTAATCTAGTTTAAGTGGAGCAACCAACTTGGATGATCGCCTATGTATATCCTGCCTTTCCTACTTTAGCACTTTTAGCCTACTGGAATGGGTAGTGAAGTTGCTTTCTACTCGGTTCAGGTTTAACCATAGTTCTGAACAGATCTAGAATTCTGTGCTAGTATCATCTGTCTGACTGCCTTTGTGGATCCACCCTGCCAGTGGGTAAATATGAAAGTTGATTTTGTTCTGAAAAATCAAATGACTTAAGGAAGGCACACAGAAGGGCCATATTTATAGTGTAAATTGAAGGTAATATTGGACTCCTCTTAAGATAACAGTAACCATTAAACTTTTTTGTTTCTGCAGTCTGTCTCTGAAAGATTTTCTGTAAACATCACCCTTCAAATCAGAAAGACTAAAAACAGTTTACATGAGAATTTTGGAGTTTATTTTCCTATTGAAATGTTTAGATTATGGATATGAAAATCAGCTTTTGTGAAAGACTTTAAATGATGCATGTGGAAGGTGATACTTCCAGATATGACATTGTCAAACATTTATTTTATAGCTATACAGTAATGTATTGAGAAACAAAAGGATTATTTATACAGAAAAAAACAGCAGCAGAAATGTTTCTAAACACAGGCCTCAGAAATATCCCTTGAAGATTGCATGTCTTGCTGTGAAAGCATCTTTACAAATTCTCAGACCTCACGTGTAGTAATACAGTGGCAACTTGAATCTATTCAACAGCTGCTTGTTTCAGAACAGTGTTTGGTTCTTCTATTGATCTTATTCCTTTTACAGGATATGACCTCAAGAGGTGACCTGCTCTGATAAGATACGCTGGTTTTACATGCTAACAATGCATGGTTAGATTAAAATAAAACTAGGAAACATTTTAGCCCCAAGGTGATCACCAGTCCCAATAAAATGAAGACTGTCTCCAGCAGTTCAGTGTTCTTAGTTCCAGAAGAGGGTAAACCTCTGATCAGTCTTCCTAATTTTTTTTTTTCTGTTATGGTCATTCACTACAAACTGTGTTTGGCTCTCTTGCTGGCTGCATCTTTTCAATTATTTCTATTGTTACTTGTTAACTTGCTCTTGCCAATATATAGCACCAGTTTTACTGCCTTTCCCTCTAACAATGTATTTATATTTCAGGGAGTTGATTCACTTGCTCATTCACCTATCTGAAGCTCTGCGTGAAGCACAACTTAAACTCATACTGGTCATCCCTCCTGCAGTTGCAGCAGGGTGAGTATTCCTATTTAGATGGCAGGTTCCAGATAGGAAATACTTTCTTGTCTGATATACAATAAATTCAAAACTTTGTTTATAGCTATGCAGCTTAAATGAATAAGAAGTTATTTGAGTTTGATTGGTAGCCCCATCTTCATGCGTGTTGCACTGAATAGTCTTAGTAACTTTGTGCATTCATATATACCTTATAACTTTTGTTGTCAAAATAACTTGCAAAGGTTATCCTATTGTGGTGTTAACCTAAAAAGAAAATGCATTTAGTAAGAGGATAGTATTTAGAATTGTTAATGATTCTGTTTATTTGTGCAATTGTTTGAATCTGACGGATGTACCAATTTATATGCTCTTCTGGCTCAACAGCAGGAAGCAGTTCTTATCTTTCAGTGTTTATAGCAGAGAGATATTTACTTCCTAAGATTGTATTCATTGAAAAAACAAAACCCATGTGGAAAATTAGAATGTAATTTCATTATATGTGGAAGGAATTTGAACCTTCTTTAAGTTTTTCCATTTTTAGGAAAAGATTCTACATTGTCTTTAAGTGATATATAGTAAAACTGAAAAAAAATCACAGTTTTACTATCTCTCTAGTCTTTTTCTGGAAAGAAAATGGCACTCCAGTATTTCATAGAATCATAGAATCATTAAGGTTGGAAGAGACCTCCAAGATCATCGAGTCCAACCATCAACCCAACACCACCATGCCCACTAAACCATGTCCCTAAGCGCCTCATCTACCCGTCTTTTA